GAATATCCTCTCCACCAGTACAGTCCAAACCCCTGTCCAGTAAGCTCTGACTGTGGGTCACCTTTAGCTGAGGGCGAATTGGATCTGGTGGCCCTTCCACGGCAGTTTCTTCATGCTGCCTGATACTTCCCACCTGAGACCCCCATCCTCCAGGGAGAAATCCTCTTGCCTTTGGCCTGCATTGTCCTGGTGGGCCAGTCCCCGTCACGCATGGGTGTGACCCTGGAGGAATGGGCTTTGTTCTTCCAGGGACAGGGCCTCCAGGTGGGAGCCAGCCTCTCTACTAACATTGACCCTCCCTCCCCAGGTAATTTCTCCTGTGTGTGTCAGGCAGTCTGTAAACGTGATAATGAGGGGCCCAGTTTTCTGGCTAACAGATAAGCCAGGGGAGCTGGGGGGCAGGGCTCCCCGGGAAAGAAATGTCAGCTGTTGCTCTTAGGGTTTCCTCATCCCCCCCAACAGCCCCTTCCCTCATCTCTGCTACCCCCCACTCAGCTTCAACTAATGAGGCCGCTAGCGCTTTGTAACGACACCTAACAGAGAGTCTGGAACAAACAGGCCTCAAGGGCTAGAGCAGAACCTGGGTTTCCTACCCCCGTGGCCCTGGGGAACTAGCCAGGACAGGTAAAATGATTGTCAGAAGCTCCTCAGGCACCCGAGGCCATGGGGACCACACGAACATCCCTTTCTTTGCCCGGCCGGTTAGAGGATGCAGCCTTATAGCCAAGGCTCCTGGATTGGCCAAGCCTTAGTCTGGAGAGAAGGTCAAGGAGCAGCTGCCCTCAGTGAGACCACTTCCCCTGCCCACCCCTATGTCACCTGATAACAGGAGAGGGCCGTGTCAAACTCCCCCGAGGTCCTCTTTTGTGCTCTCGGAATAATTGAGTTTCAAAGGAGAGAACAGATGGATTGCATTTTCCTAACTTTTAGCTGGTTCCAATGTGCAAACAGTTAAGATCATAATGTTAACATTTTCTCATTGTTTTATGTGCATATAAAATATTCCTGAAGAATGTGCTTTTGAATGCAAAGTTTGATCCAATTACAATTTTATAGAGTTTATAAAAACATAAAAAGTATGTTTTCTGGATGTCTGAGACCCTTTTGGCCTCTACAGTAAACTTGGAAGCTTGCAGGGAAACATAACTGCCACCATGTCAGAAAGGGCCCTATGGAGCTTAAAATGATGAGCCCATTATGTAAATATGGAAACATCCCATAGTCTCTTGGGGTGAATGAGATACTGATGAATGGAATTAAAAACAATCCTGTGGTCTTGGATCAGATTGGAAATGGTTGTTGTTTTCTGTCTTTGAAGAGCCATAAAAAAAATAAATAAATAACGGGAAAGGAATCTTGTGAACTTGACTTCTGTGGTTTAAAAGCCATAAGGTGGCTCCGTGCAGAGTAAAATCAGGCAGCTTCCCCATCAGTGGGGAGAAGAAAAGTCTCCACAGCAAAAAGCAAAAAGCACAGATCAGAAGACGCCTTTCCAGCGTGAACTCTGAGGCTGGCAGAACGTGCGGGAAGCTCGCACTTGAGCCTGGGGTGTGAGGGGTGCTCCTGGGAGTGGAGACAGGCTCTCTCCAGCTCATCTTCATGTACCTGGGCACATAACCTCAGCAGTCCGAGCCTTGACACCTCACTGGTGAAAAGAGAGGGGCAGATGTGAGGATCTCTCTGCTACCTCTAAAATGCTGTGATCACCTACCCCGCCTCCTGCCCTAAACTAATTACAAGCTGTTGGAATACACGAGGTGACCATTAGCAGTGTGTCTGGAGGAGGTGTGCATAGGATTAAAGGATGTCCAAACCCGATCCTCCATCAGAAGGCTTCGTTCTTGGAAAATAAAGTGGATAACAAGCATGTGTCTGAGTCCATTTGCTTGCTGCTGGATTTTCTGGTGCCACGTGTAAGTGTTCATAACATGACCAGCCATTTGCATTCAGAGATGTTGATTAAGAGTAGCTCTTGAGGGCTTTCCTGGTGGCGCAGTGGTTAAGAGTCCGCCTGCCGATGCAGGGGACACGGGTTCGTGCCCTGGTCCGGGAAGATTCCACATGCCGCAGAGTGGCTGGGCCCGTGAGCCATGGCCGCTGAGCCTCCGCGTCCGGAGCCTGTGCTCTGCAACGGGAGAGCCCACAACAGTGAGAGGGCCGCGTACCGCAAAAAAAAAAGAGTAGCTCTTGATACCAGAGTGAGAATGTGCCCAGGATTGTACAGAACAGTTTTGTTAAGGAAACGTGGACCAGATTTCTTTCCAGAGGCTGGTCCAGCTCAAGCAGCTTCCCTATGGCATTCAGGTGCTTGATGAGGGTGAAATTTTTCCATTGCACACATGTGGGGCAGATCCCCCAGCTCTGGACAAACCCAAGGCTGTCTAGGGAGAATTGCTCTCACTGTGTGGATTTGGGTCTGGACCATTGATTAGGAGAATTCCAAGCTCTCAGAACTGGAGGAAGTGCAGAGATTGTCTTGTCTGATACACAAGGAAAATGAGAGGTCAAGAGGTGTGGGCAGAGTCACAGTCTCTCGGGTCAGGACTCCTGCCATTTTGATATAATCCTGCTGGCGTCTTCTGTAACCAGATGCAGAGTTGGAGGAAAGCCATGTGGCTGGAACCAAATGAAGGAGGAAGAGTTGTGTGAGTTTCTGAGGGCTGCCATAAGAAATTACCAAAAACTTGGTGGCTTAAAATAATAGAAATTGGTCCTCTTACAGTTCTGGAGGCTACAAGACTGAAATCAATGTATTAGCAGGGCCACGCTTCCTCCGAAGGCTATAAGGAAGGACCCTTCTTTGTTTCTTCCTCCAGCACGTGTGGGCCCGTGTATTCCTTGGCTTGTGGCTGCGTAACCCAACCTCTGCCCTGCTCTGTTTTCACATGACCTTCTCTGTCTCATTGGGAGTCTTCTTCTCTTAGAAGGACACCAGCCATTGGGTTTAAGGATCACCCCAACCCAGTATGATCCCATGTTGATTCTTAGCTAATTACATCTGCCTATTTCCAAATAAGGGCACGTACTGAGGTTCTGGGTGGATATGAATTTGGGGGAACACTGCTCGACCCACTGCAGGTGAGAGGTTGGAAAGGAAGGCAGAGAGAAGAGCAGGGTCCTGTCTCTTCCTGAAACATGCCATGTGCATCCTCTCCTCACAGCTCCTGCCCTAGATGTCTCCACCCAGACGGCTGTGAGGCAGGCCTCCTTCCTTCCTTTACAATCACCACCCTCACCTCCTTCAAGCCTTCTTGCTTATGCGGGGTCTTAGAAGGCCCACAATTTGAGCAATTTTCTAACAATTTTGGGAACAATTTTGGCTTTAATTCTATGTGAGATGAGAAGCCCTTGGAGGATTTTGAGCAAAAGAGCCACGTGTTCTGATTTCTGTCTTATAGGACTCACTCTGGTTGCTGTAGGAAACTTGGCTGTAGAAGGGGAGGGAAAAGCAGAGAGAGTGATGTGGCTTTTGTAGTAGATTAGGGGAAAGATGCTTGGAGTCAGAAGTGGTGGAAAGGGAGGATGCGATCAGATTCTGAGCATATTTTGAAGGTAGAGAGGAGTTTTGGCCATTAAGGTTTGAGATGCCCATTAGACACCCAGTGGGGATGTTGATGAAGCAGTTGGACATCTAGATCTGGAATTAAGGCGAGAGGCACATGTTAGAGATACATATTTGGAAGTCCCAGCAGTCAGAGGGTATTTAAAGCCGTATTACCAGATGAGCTCACCCGAGGATTAGAGTGAAGATAAGGAAAAAGAGGTTTGCGGGACCGTGTCCTGGACTCTGCATCATTTAGGGGCTGGAAAGATGAGGGCGATCCAGCAAAGGAACTGAGATGCAGTGGCTGGTGAGAGCGGAAGAGAGAGAGAAAGAGAGGGTGGAGGAAGGTTTCGGAATGGAGGGAGGGATCAAGTGTGAAGAGATTGGCTGGTAGGTCAAAAAGGACGAGGCCTTAGGACAGTGGGCATCCCTGGTGGCCTTGACGAGAGAGGGTGTGAGGAGAAAAGCATGACTGGACGACTGCCCTGTAGGAGCTCTGGGTCAAGTGGAAAAGAGCCGCGACGGATCCGCCCCCTCCCACTCCAGGGGTGGGTCCTTCGTGGTCTCGGGTCAGCTGTTTCACGCCACCAGCCAGTGGCAGCCTCGGGGGCTACAGGACCTAAAGCTGGGCAATGAGACCCGAGGGGAAGTCGGCTGAGGGGATTCGGAGAAAACGTGTCCTCGTGCCCAGAAAGGAATCTGGGAGAGGAAAACTCTTCTTCTTCCTTTGGTCTCTGAACCTGACGCATGGGGGCGCCGAATGCAGCCCCGCAGAGGGGTTCTGTTCCTTCTGAGCACGGAGAGGTGGACCATGCTGTCTCCCCTTACCTTCCAACCTGCTCTGAGGAAGGAGGCAAGAGAAGTAGATGACGGGCCTGCCCGTCTGGCCTCCCGGGTTTGGGGCATCACTGCGCGGGAACCCCCAGCACAACGCAGTCATGCGTGTCTCAGCCCTCTTGTCTCCTCCCAGCTCCGGTACCCACCCCGCTCGCATCCTTCTTCAGCCGGCACTTCCGGCCACTATGGTGGGGGTGTGGCCCGTGCAATCTTTTTGCAGTTTAAAAACGGAGCTCCGGGACTTCCCCGGCGGTCCAGTGGCTAAGACTCCGCACTTCCACTGCAGGGGGCGCGGGTCGCATCCCTGGTCTGGGAATTAAGATCCCACATGCCGCTGGGCGTGGCCAAAAAAAAAGGCTGGGAGGGAGGGGGGAGTTCCTGATGTTGGAAAAAGTCCGCCTGGCTGCAGTATTGAGACTGGAATGGACGATGCTCAGGCCTCCAAGGCCCCAGGAGACTCATTTAGGAGCTGGGGCCTCCGCCCAGGGGACAGCCCATTCAGGGAGCCAGCCCGTCTGTGTTTTCTCCAGGCGTTTTCCTCTCCCAGGCAGATTCCCAGGGGGCTCTTTAGACCAAGCTAGAGGAGGAGTTCTTGGAAACACGCAGAGGCCAAGTACGTGGGGGTAAGAGATTTTTATTCCAAAGGGAGGCAGCCTAGTGGAGGATGCTTTCATTTAGCCTGTGATGACAAGATAAGGAATTAATAGGTTTAAGCTGCCTTGAGGAGCGCTGAGATAACAGCCCGCGATAAACCTCCCAACCAGATGGAGCTCCAGACAACAGGGGAGGATCCCTGGGTTTCAGCCCAGCTTCCCTCTGAGTCCCAGGCTGTTAGGGCATTAGCAAGGCCAGCTTGTGGCCTCGGAGAGGGTGCAAGTGGGTAAAGCCACCTGTAGAGACCCGGAGGAGGGACACACACCAGGAGGAAGGTCTGTCCCAGCCTGGGGGGCGTGCAGGAGTCCGCCGGGACTGACCTGGGCGGGAGATCTGACGAGGCCCTTCAGGACCCTGAAACAATTCCCAGGTTCCACATCAGGGACGCAGGAGTTCCCAAAGTGAATTTCCAACGAAGTGACACCTTTTCCTAAAAGTCTGTGGCCTGGAGAACGATGAGGCCAGTGGGAAAGGGAAAAGTGGAGAGAGTTCCTCTCTCTGAAGCTGGACAGGTACAGCCCCCAAATCCACCACTGTCTTGGGAGCAGAACTTGATGAGAATGGGGATCTGCTCTCTAGAAGCAGGCATGGGGAGCCCATGCTTGTAATTTTAGGAAACAAGTTCTGGCCACTTGTGACGCTCACCACGTTGATTGGCTTCTCCTGTCTAGAATGGGTCATTTTGGCTAAAGGTCAAGTCATATCCATCCCTCCTTGCACCCCACCAAAAAAAAAGGGGGGGTGCAGGGAGGGGGGAGAGAGAGAGAAAGAAATGGGGGGGGGGGAAGAGAGGAAAAGAGAGAGGAAGAAAGAAAAAGCCAAACAAAGGCAGTAAGTGGATTTACAGAATGCGTTTGGCACTGATCAGAATCTCAAGAAGCTGTCAAAGCAAGCGTCTTTAAGGAACAGCTCGGACGCTGCTGGGGCCGGAGCAGCTCACCAGAATTCTTTTTCCCAAAAGGTCCCGGGAGAGGGAAGCTCTCTAATTCCCGAGGCTCTCTTACTCTCTTGATCAGATTCAGGCCCTCATGCCCTCAACCATCTCCCCCAGCTGGGTCTCCCTTCTCCATCGCTGTGTCCCCTCCCCCCAGTGCATCACCCACAGTTGGTGGGGGGATGGCGGGGAGAAGAACCATCCAGTAACTCCTCCGCAGCCCAGCCCCGAGGCCGCCACGCTGAGCTCTGGAACGCCAGGGTAATTTGAACCTGCCTCTGTGGATAGCTACGTCTGTGTTTACAGATAGAAGAAGCTGCAAGAAACAGGACTGGATTTGTTATCTGTAAGTCAAACCAGCTGTGATCTCCTGTCTATGGCGGCTTCCTTGGCAAATGCCAAATGTCCCTTGTGGTTGGGGCCACTTTTTTTCCCAGAGTTGTTTGCCCTTCATGCAGCCAGCTTTCCTCCTGTGCCTCTTCCTCCACCAGCTGCTCCCCCGCAAGGTGTCAGCGTGCGGGGCACCCACCAAGGCAGCCTGGCCCCAGAGAGAAGCCTCCAGCCACGGAGTCACAGAGCCTCTTGGAAGCTGCTTAGCTGGGGTGAGGGTACTAGACTGGAGTAGATTAGCCCCTCCCCAGAGTCTTCCTTTCCCCTCCATCTTTTAGAAATCAGCTTGACGTCTATCTCCATGAAGTTCTGAACCGAGAATCACTTTGGGAAGAAAAAAAACACACACACACACACTCTCAGCACTTCCCTCGTGGCACAGTGGTTAAGAATCCGCCTGCCAATGCAGGGACACGGGTTTGAGCCCTGGTCCGGGAAGATCCCACATGCCGTTGAGCAACTAAGCCTGCGAGCCACAACTACTGAGCCCGCGTGCTGCAACTACTGAAGCCTGCACGCCTAGAGCCTGTGTTCCACAAGAGAAGCCACTGCAATGAGAAGCCTGCACACCACAACGAAGAGTAGCCCCCGCTCACCGCAACTAGAGAAAGCCCGTGCACAGCAACGAAGACCCAACGCAGCCAAAACACAAAAAAAGAAAACAAGCAAAAAAACACACACTCTCATCGGAGGGAGCATCAGAGTGACTTTATGAGTGTTTAGAGACAACTGCATTTCAAACTGGTAATATTTAAATTGTCACATGAAAAGAACTTTTTGCGTTTAAGTCGGTCAGTATCCATCTTTTCCTCATTCGGATGGAAGTTCCTTGGGAACTGGGACCCAGTCATGTTATCTAGGAAGTTCTATATGGAGATTTCCACTCAGCAAGTATTTGTTAAACATCTACTATGTATCAGTTTCTGCCCTCAAAGGGCACACAAAGGGGTAGAAGAAAAGTATATGGCCGTGTAAAAATCTTTGTTATATTTCCTTCAATTATTAGCCAAGAGCACATTGAAGCTTACAGGCAGCCAAGGCAATGGGAGTTCAGCGCAAGGAGTCATAGTAGGCTGGGGGCGATCCGGGAAGCCTTCCTGGAGGAGGCAGTGTTGCGCTAACGTCCAAAGGAGGGGCCCAATGTTCATAATGAAGGGACATGGAAAATGTGGGAGCGATGTTGGTAAAATTCAGCAACTGGCTCCCCCCCCCACCCCACCAAAGATCTAATTTAAAAGTGTTGGCCGATTTCCCTGGTGTAAATACACCCACCATGGCTAATTTCATGGTCAGTTTCAAGACACTAATGTGAAGTCACTAAGTCACTGAACAAGGAGTCAGGAAGAGATATATAGTAATACATCATTTAGTAGCATTTTTGCCATACAGGTCAAATAGAAACAAATCATGATATGAAAAAATGCTTTACAATAATTAGGAAATAGTGGATTTTGAGCATTTATTACCTTTACTTTTGATATCATTTATATAACTAAGTTTATATAACTTAATTTTTAATGATGTTGACCTTAACAATGAGATCACAAAATCCCTGAATAGTCAGTGGTCAACACTCACGAGCCAGTAAGGGCCAGCTCCAGCAGCACACTGGTACAAAGCAGATAGAAGCATGGGACGGAGATTTATACCGAGTGTTAGTGAATGTTCTACCTAATGGAAAGTTTTTCTGCAGCACTAATGATGATTAGTCTAGCCTTGATGTCCCTGCTCACATTCTATTTTCTTCTGCTGGATCTAATCCTAGAAACTCAGACTGCTAGGAATCCCAGCTGCCTGTCCCCAGAGTTCCATAGAAAAATATTATAAACAGAATTCTTTTTCGCTGTTTGACACTCCATGAAAGACTGTAATTGAAACATCACTGGTTAAAAGTCACTTCTTTGAACAAGGAGGCCTTTCCCAGGGAGCAAGCCAGAAACTTCTGCTCCTTTTTCTTTCCTCCCATGTCTTACTGTGCTGGACCCTGTTCATAGAACAGCTGAAAGGACGGACCACCACCTTCCACAGAAGATCCTTTCTGGAAGGAGAGACAGGTCCCTGCATTCACTTCTCTCCAGGAAGCGTGCTCTTAAACACAACCTGTGTTCACACTGGATTTTCTAGTCCAGTTAAGATGACTCTGGACATCACCGTATGACTGTTAAGCTCAGGAATGATGATACTTAAAAGGAAAAAAAAATGAGAATGAGTTTGTCTGTTTAGACATTAACCCATGAGTTGTTTCCATATCCCAATTGCTGAGCAAACCTTCTTTTCCTGGGATGGTATGGGATGTTAACTGAAATGATTTGGAGTGTGTGACCATGCTGTACTTTAAATCCCACCACTAGAACCTTCCTTTGGAATTCTGAAGGCCTCTCACCTCGAGCTCCTTTGAAGCCCCTTAGAATTGAGTTTACAGGCACTGGATGACATTTGCCCTTGAAAATGTTTTATTTTAGTGTTTTATTTACCTTATTGATCTTTTCTCCAATTGCAATTGTGGGAGAAGGGCCAGCACCAGGTTCTGGAGGTACAACGAGAAATGGAGTGTAGGTAAAGCAGAGTCGGGAGCTGAGCTCTGGGGCGGGTGAGGGGACCCCACAAAGAGACTTAGGAGTAGCTGGGGACATAGGGGAAAACCAGGAGAGACGAATACCTGGACACAAGCACAGAACATTCGTTTTTCTCTTCTAGTTTTATTGAGATATAACTGATGTACGCACTGTGTAAATTTAAGGTATACAGCGTAATGACTTGACCTACATATATTGAGAAATGATTACCACCATAAGTTTAGTTAACATCCATCACCTCATATAGACACCAAAAAATGCTTTTGTTTCTTGTGATGAGAACTTTTTTTCTTTTTGCAGTACGCAGGCCTCTCACCGCTGTGGCCTCTCCCGTTGCAGAGCACAGGCTCCGGACGCGCAGGCTCAGCGGCCATGGCTCACGGGCCCATGTGGGATCCTCCCGGACCGAGGCACGAACCCGTGTCCCCTGCATCGGCAGGCGGACTCTCAACCACTGTGCCACCAGGGAAGCCCAGGATGAGAACTTTTAGGATCTACTCTCTTAGTAGTTTTCAAATATACCAGATAGCAGAAGCACAGGACTTGTTTAAAGAAAGAGGCTATGATTTAATTGTGTCAAATGCTGGTGAAAGTTAGAGAATTGACCTCCAGATTTGATGAACTCACTGGTGACCTTGTGTATTAGTCAGGGTTCTTCGGAGAAGCAGAAGCAATAGGATATGTGTGGGCATGTATAAAGAGATACATTTTAAGGAATTGGCTCACATGATTATGGAGGCTGGCAAGTACAAATGGGCAAGATGGGTCTGTGGGCTGGAGACCCAGGAAGAGCTGATTCTGTGGTCGTCTGCTGGAGAATTCCTTCTTGCTCAGGAGAGGTCAGTCTTTTGTTCTATTCAGGCCTTCAACTGATTGGATGAGGCCCACCCACTTATAGAGGGCAATGTGCTTTACTCAGAGTCTACAGTATTAAATGTTAATTTCATCTGAAAACACCCTCACAGAAACATCCAGAATAATGTTTGTTTTTTTTTAACATCTTTATTGGAGTATAATTGTTTTACAATGGTGTGTTATTTTCTGCTTTATAACAAACTGAATCAGCTATACATATAAATATATCCCCATATCTCCTCCCTCTTGCATCTCCCTTCCATCCTTCCTGTCCCACCCCTCTAGGTGGTCACAAAGCACCAAGCTGATCTCCCTGTGCTATGCAGCTGCTTCCCACTAGCTATCTATTTTACACTTGGTAGTGTATATATGTCCATTCCACCTCTCACTTTGTCCCAGCTTACCCTGCCCCCTCCTTGTGTCCTCAAGTCCATTCTCTATATCTGCCTCTTTATTCCTGTTCTGCCCCTAGGTTCTTCAGACCTTTTTTTTTTAAGACTCCATATATATGTGTTAGCGTACGGTATTTCTTTTTCTCTTTCAGACTTACTTCACTCTGTATGACAGACTCTAGGTCCATCCACCTTACTATAACTAACTCAATTTTGTTTCTTTTTATGGCTGAGTAATATTCCATTGGATATATGTGCCACATCTTTATCCATTCATCTGTCAATGGACACTTAGGTTGCTTCCATGTCCTAGCTGTTGTAAACAGAGCTGCAATGGACATTGTGGTACATGAGTCTTTTTGAATTATGGTTTTCTCAGGGTATATGCCCAGTAATGGGATTGCTGTGTCATATCGTAGTTCTATTTTTAATTTTTTAAGGAACCTCCATACTGTTCTCTGTAGTGGCTGTATCAATTTACAGTCCCACCAACAGTGCAAGAGGGTTCCCTTTTCTCCACACCCTCTCCAGCATTTATTGTTTGTAGCTTTTTTTTTTTTTTTTTTTTTTCTGTACGCAGGCCTCTCACTGCTGTGGCCTCTCCCGTTGCGGAGCACAGGCTCTGGACGCGCAGGCTCAGCGGCCATGGCTCACGGACCCAGCCGCTCTGCGGCATTTGGGATCTTCCTGGACTGGGGCACGAACCCATGTCCCCTGCATCGGCAGGCAGACTCTCAACCACTGCGCCACCAGGAAAGCCCTGTTTGTAGATTTTTTGATGATGGCCATTCTGACCTGTGTGAGGTGATACCTCATTGTAGTTTTGATTTGCATTTCTCTAATGATTAGTGATGTTGAGCATCCTTTCATGTGTTTATTGACAATCTGTATATCTTCTTTGGAGAAATGTCTATTTAGGTCTTCTGCCCATTTTTGGATTGAGTTTTTTGTTTTTTTGATATTAAGCTGCATGAACTGCTTGTAAATTTTGGAG